TCCCATTCAGGTCAAACAGAGTCAGGGGACTGCTATTTTGCATGATGGCTCAAACACCTGTGTTTACCCTACTGTTTCACGTCAAAGTGGCTGCTGCGAAAAAGGTCTACTTATATTGAACATAAAGCCAGTTTTTGCTTTGTGTCACAAACAAAGTACCAGCTAACAGGCGTTAGCTCTAAATGGCTACCAATGGATGCAGTAAACCTATGTCTATGCAGTGTTTCTGTGTTGGGTTTGTGTGGTAGCTCAGTCTACCAGCAACATGGAGTTTAGTGACCTCAGAAAACTCCTGTAGTACAACTTGTAGTCTAATCGACTGTGTGGGTGTACAGGGCCTTTGCCATTTTGGTCAGCCGTACAGTTCAGTGTCCTAAGAATAATTTAAAATTGGAGAAACTTCACATAGTAATAGTGTAAAAAAATAAAAAAAAATTCTTGATTGACTGGGATATTCCTCAGGCTGTTTGACTACCATTTACCATTTTATTTTTTGCAGCTGTGAGCAGCTTTTTTGTTTTATTTGAGCATTGCATTGTGGACTTTTTCACTTGTCCAGTGTGAATCAAATACACTGCATAGTCAAAACTTTGTTAGGATTACTGTGTAATATGAACTTGGTTGAGGTTCGGTAGAATACAAGAGCATCACATTGAATCCAATATCAAATCTGCTTTCGAATGCAAATCCTTTAACTAGAGTTAAATATACAGTTGTCAGAAACACCACAGTTTTTAGTGGCAGTCTAATTAACATCCAGCATCTGTAGCTACAACCTGAAAATGAAAGGTTTCCTTTGGAGTTTTTAAAAAAATCTGGTAGCACTGTGGAGCTGTTTTTCTATGGGTGAGTCCCTGTTTTGTTTATGTTGTGCATATGTGAATGTGATACACATCCCTGACAATGGTTTCTAACTTTTCCACTGATCTACAGGTGGCAGTAGTGTGCAAACATTTGCTGCCATGCACCGACAAAAGCAGGGAAAAAGAAGACTGCTTGAAAGTAAACATAGATGTGAACAATGCTGGATTTGAAATAGTTGTCTTGATAAATATAGAGCATGTGTTTGGTGTAGTATGAAGGCAGCTTGCTTTAGGTAATGAATAATGTAACTGTGATGTTGTGGATTAAAACTTTTAGCTGCTTTTAATGACATGTATCATATCCCTGACACTGCAGTGAGAAATCCTAAGTGGCCACCATGTTTTCCTGCGGATATATTGGTAAATGTAGCCTTGGTCTACAGCAGTGCTCTGGTTTGCGTCAGTCTCTACATCTATCTGTACACCCTGTGCATCCTCATTGTTTTTTTTGCCAACAGCCTTCACAGCGTTGTTGAGAGTTGTTGATCCCCGGCAGGCCACTCAGGTTAGGGTGTGTGTGGGGGGGGTCCGCTCCTCGTCTGCAGACCTAGCTGCACACACGCACACAACCCTGTACAACCCTTGGGCCAGATCTGTCAGCTCTTCTCCGCTTGTGAGCACAAACACACAGTGCATTCTCTCTTTCTCTCTCCCTCTCCCGCTCTCCCTCTGTGCTCTCATTGCCACCCGTCCGTTGCACACAAGCCCAGAGCATGCTGGGAGAATTAATGGTCCAAGCGGAGAGAGTTGGCGGGTGGTTGGGGAGAGGGGAAGGAGAGGGGGAGGTGAAGTTAGTCTGGGTAGGTTAGGTTTAAGGAAAAGGAGTTCTTAAGCAGCACAGAAATATAAAAGCTGCTTTGGTCTTTGTGCGTCAAACAAGTTTCTTCTATTGTTGTCACTGCTGTCTACTTTCGATAAAATGGAGGTTCCTCTAGTCATGTTGTCAAAATTATGCTTTGTTTTTTTTTCATCTTGGATACCTGATCCGAAAAAAACATTCCAGTGTGGGTGGATTTTACTCAGCAGTCTGTGAAACCTTTACTGCCTCAACTCGCTTTAAGCAGCTGCAATCCACTCAGATTAATTTTATTTGCCTTTCACTGCAGAGGGTTAGTGTCTCATGATGGTCTAAATGTTGTTTCGAAGGCTTTTCTACCTTAATAAGAAGAAAACAGAACGTTACCAAGGTATATGCTTTCAACTGCATCTCGGAGAGACAGACAACATCACTTGTCTGTGAACCCCAGACCAGAACCAGTAACACACTAACACACACACACACACTCATAATGTGAGAATACGTGTGTGTATTTAAAAAAAGAATAGAGTTTTCTATCAGGTCATGTGGAGAGAGTCAGAGGGGCTTGCCGGTCTCTTTAACACAGCAGGGCTGTCACCAAAGGTCCTCATTACTCCACTTCTATCCAGCCAGCTGCATCTCTGCACGTTCAGCTTATGGGAATAAAGACAGCGTGGGGGCTTTGATGCGGAGTTGGAGGGAGGCTGTGGGAGAGAATTCTGGGAGTCAAGTTGGCACACAGGCCCACACTTACGCCTTTAATACACACTCACACACGGTAGCATTGACACGCTGCTGCAGGTTGGGTTCGGGCTGCAGCTGACTGTACATTGTACCCACTCACCAGCTGAGTTGGATCACTGATGGGGTCAGTTTCATTTGATCTGCTAAGAGTTGGAGGATGAGTCAGATTTCAAGTCGGTACATTGCGGAGCCGTCATCAGAGAATCACAGGGCACTCGTTTTACATTCTCAAAATGAGTCCAGGCTTTTACTCATAATTTATTTAAGCAAATCTTTTTCCAGCTGGTGTGGTGGTCCCAGTGTGTCACCTTGCAGGAGTAGACAAAATAACCTTTTTTCTTCTGAGTTATGAAGAGGGAAATCCACTCCTCTTAAAGGCCCTGAAAGTGTTGATTGTTGATGTGCTGATTAAAGCCATGATTTGATCCTGCTGTTCATAAAATCACTCTTGAGGTTTTTAGTGTGTTAGGCGCTGTTATCACCTTGAATTATGAGAACCCTGGGGTGCTTCTGATTTTGTGAAATGGCCTCATACTCCCTGGTTATTGTACTCCCATGCAGTGCAATCATCAGACCTAATGACTCCCAGTAGATGGCTGCTGCACTAGTCCACAAGGTTGACAGCTGGTTACAGATATTATGGCTCCTGCTCATGAATTTAAAACCATCTGGATTGATGGAAAGGATAAAATAATGATCAGATAGATGACCAGGTTGTGCATCTTTACATTTTTTGTTGACAGAGGAGACATAAATACACTGTACACTTCAGTTTTTGAGACTGTAAAGTACAGTATACAAAGAATAAATTACCACTGTATCAAAACAGTTTGGCTGGACTATCTCAACATATTCAGTTTGGTATTGGATAAAACAAAGAAAAGCAGAAAATCTCCACAGTTGATGTATCATTGATCAACATAATTGTTATTTTTCTTCTTCTTTTCAAACTTATTGATTAATTCATAATATTTTTTTTATCTCTACATCCGAGCTTGGGCTCTGAGATTCTCGCCCAAACCAATCCTGATAAAACAATCAAAGAAATATGCCAATGTAGGAGTTGTTATTCCTGCAAGTCGACAACCAATACAAGCGCGCTTGTCAGGTACACTGCAGTTTTTGACCACTAGTAGTGCTATTTAGTAGTGATTTAATGAGCTGGTTCCCGTTTTGTTTGTATCTTATGCATGCATGCTAGGATGTGGGTGAAGCGGCCTTCATGTCCCTGCCAACAGTTTAATGCTATGCCTCTGACTGACAGTTGGTGCCAGTGCTGCTGCAAGAAACACAGCAAAATGCCAGCAAAGGATGGTGTTATATTGCAGTCCATTAAAGATGTGGACATTTTTTTGTTGTTCTGTCTCTGTACTCCCAGTGCTCAAGGTCTTCACATTTATATTAGATTAACAGTGTAGTGCTCATGACCCTTCAAATTTCTGAACCGTGTATGTGTTTTTTCCTCCTTGGTGATGTCTCCTCTCTCCTTGTCCAGGCTCTCCGGGCCTACAGGTGCAGTTCAGAGTAGATGAGGGTTTCCTGAGGCCAGGAGAGAAACGATGGTTCTTGCGCTACCTGGCCCTCCACACCCTGCACATCGACATCTGGGACAGCGACTCATTGCTCCTCATAGGTTCTACTGCTATCGAGCTCAAGGTAGGAGACTGAGGTTGACCTATGATTCAAATGAACTGGGATGGAAGTCATCATTTGTGATTATTAGTTGCAGTATTACAACAAAAACTCTGATTCCCACCCCAAGAACTTGAGTTGAGCATCAAAAAAAAAAAAACGCATTCTGTTTACACATGCATTGTCAACTTCTGACACACCTTCATCACAACGCAGTGCATCTGTCATGGATTCATGCAGCGTTTGCAGATTGTTTTAACACATTTAATAGAGTGAACCAGGCGTTGCAGAGAAAACTGCTACTGATAATAGAATGTCAAATACAAAAACACTTCACTCCATATTAACCAGGTTTGCTCGAAAACACAATACAGACATGTCATCATCGTTGTTAAATAAATGGTTTTACTCTATGTCTGCTGGAACAAGTACAAAGCTTGCACAGAGCTTATTTTGTGAGATTTATAAACATAAACATAAACACAAGACAATGTGATTCGTGAAATGTGATTGTGAGGAAAGTGGTATATGAGTTTAAAATCTGTAAAAAAAAAAAAGTGCCAGAGTGAGGCCGACTCTGTATTGAACAAATAGTACAACCAAAGTACTATTTAGCGCTGCTCCGTGTACTCTGTGTTCAAGAATTCGACCCAAGCAGTTTTTCTATTTTAACTTCTAAAGACAAGCGAACCAAAGACTAAAGGCTTTTCAATTTTGTTTTGTTTTTTTAAGCTCTGCTATTCATTGATTGGACAGAAACTATTTTGCCAGCCCTGATGTGGAATTGATTTGTTTATGAGAAAAAAATTAAGGGAGTGGTTTAAAATTGGGCAGAGCTGTTTTGAACTTGACCATATTCATTTAGCAATGACTCAAACTCCCCAACCATTCCTAGCGTATATATGCTTTCATTTTGTTGCAAATCTTCCTTTAGTCATTTTCCCCCTTTGTCATGATCACTACATTTGTGCTTGTGAATAGATGCGTCTCATTTCTTTTTCTTACACCATATTTTGCATCCAGTACATGTTGCGTCAGGGTAAATCGGCAGTGCAGGCCCTTCATGAGGTGGAGGTGCTGACCACTGATTACGTCGGAGAGGACACCCTGCAGACGAGCGCAGATTTAGGTCAACAGTCAGCCTTCAGCCCCATGACGGTCCACACCATCGTCAGGGGCCGGCTGCACATACGCACAGGCAACATAGGTAAGTACTGCGAGACTCTTGTTGACCATGGCTAACATCAACACATGGACTGGCTAACCAAATATCTTCCTTAAGTGTGACAAAATGATCTCAACATAGGGTCCACAGACCTTTCTCAAAACTTTTTAGCTGTCAGAACTGTCTGGAAGTATGGAACTTTGGTTGATATTATTCTGTCTTCCATATTGATCTCAAGGCTAAAAATAAACTCCCATGTTCAACGTCTTCTGCATTAAAAATCAGTTTCAGTATCTGTATTCCGTGATTTTGCTGATGGCACAAGTCATGACTGTTAAATGACCAGTGTGTAGGATTTAGTGGAATCCAGGGGTGTAGTTGCAGATTGCAACTCCCTCGCTTCGTCTTCCCTTTCCAAGAGCAAAGGAGAAACTATGATGACTGCAAAACCTGCAAAGAATGCAAACAGCCCTATATAGAGTCAGTGTTTGGTTTGTACATTCTTGGCTACTGTAGAAACATGGCAGTTCAACATCTGTAGATATAAAAGGCTCATTCTAAGGTAACAATAACATAACAATTCTTATTTTCGGGTGGTTATACACTAATGGAAACATTGCATTATTCAGTTTTTGCCAATAGGTCCTTCTAAATGTTACATTCCTTTGATGGATATTTATGAAGCCTGTGTACCTTGATTCAGCACTAGGGACTGATGAATGAGCACAAGATGCTGCATGGTTAATGCACTTTCAGAGAGTATTGAATGAAGTATTTGATAAGTTGCCTATGGAGAAACTTCTAAATCAAATAAATAAATGAATTTAGTGCTTCCCCAACTGGGACACAGAAGAGGGTTGAGAGTGAATGCATGGGATGAGGGCTGTTGTGAATAGCTGGGTAGTTGCATTACCAAAACATGAAGGTAAATGTAAGGAAAGCCAGGAAAAGAACTTATTATTTGTCGTAGCTTTCAAAAGAAAATCCAGTTTCAATATCACCCCAATATCCTTCTTCTTCTGAAATATTTACAAGAGTGTTTTATATTCAGGTCATATTCCATTTGGAGCCTCAGATTATGAAGTAATGTTGTCTGTTTACTTTTATTGATGTCTAGAGCTGGAAAATGACAGTGAATCCCCAGGGCTGCTGCTGCTGTTGAAAGTTCCCATTTTCTGGAGGTGTGCAGGCTTGCAAAGTAAACACTGTGCCAAAACGAAATATCTTGATGTGATAGTTCCACTCCGTCTAGCAACTGAGCACCTTTCCTCTTGCCTTGCACTCATCCAATTTGGGCCTGACGTGCCCCCGCGGTGCGATGGCAGCTGACGATAGCTTCCTCGCCATTAATCAACTGTTGAAACGATACTCCCTCTCATAAACAATGCATCATTCTCCGGGCCTCAGAAACTCTGCAGAGTGCCATTGTTGGGGCTAAATATGCCAGCACTTATCACTCAAAGCAGGTTGAGAGCGCAGTGGGTTATTGGGTGTGCTGGGGATGGAAGGAGGAGGGATGTGTCTGGCATGTAAATTCCAATCAAGGCTCAGATATCCATCAGGCGCCCTGGCCGACAGTCAGAATCAATTTGGGGAGGGTGGACTCGCAGGCACTTTTCTTTGTTTCTGCCTCCATCTGTCGCTGCCTTTCACACTTCTCTCTTCGCTCTTTATCACTGTCTTCCTTTTTTCTCTTATTCATCCATTTACCTCTTACCCTTCTATCACACGCTCTCTCTTCCACCCTCTATCTGGCTGTTTGTTTTCTTCTCTCACCACCCCCTATTTCCTCTGTGTTTCTCTCTTTCTCCACGTCCGTCATCAAGCTGTTATAAATCAGCGCTCTTATTTGGTGGGTGGTGAAGGGATGTGAAGCCCGGTAATTAATGCACACTTGAGGTGGGTGCATCAGAAGTTACCGTCAGTACGACAGATGGATTTGCTGTATGACGACTTTGACAGAGATTCGACACACACAAAACAAGCATGTGTGCATATCAGATCACTCACACATGCCAAGAAGGCGTGCACTCATGCATACAGTACACGCAGACATATAGACAGGCAGGTGTAGCAGAGCGTGGACAGGTTGCGCGATGAGGCAGGGTGGCAGAAATGAGAGGCGGACAGGTAGAGTATATCACTGATATCATGTGAGAACCCTGTAACTCAATTTTTTTGTGATTTTTGAGTTCAATACAAGGATTACATGGCTTCTCTATGGATTCTACGACTCCTAAATCCCCACTGGATGGACTCAAAATGCATGCTGGCCAGGCTGAAAGGCAGGCTGTATTTCTGTGCTGACATGGTACAGATACAGCTCCTGGATTTCAGCTCGAGAGGTGAAGGAAGGTTGCTTGAAAATGGTCGATGACGCAGAGTGAGAGATGAAAAGTGTGTGGCCGTGTGGCAGGAAGAGTAGCTAAAGCAGCAAAATATTTTTTCAGTGAGGCTGAAATTTGTTTTTGTTGTGTTGACTCAACTAACAGCTGATTGTCCGTGTTGCTGCCAGAACCAAGACAGAGGCCTTTGTTTCTAAGTTCCTCTATGTCTCAGAGCAGCAGAATGGTGAGAATAGCATGACTCTGCTTTTGTACTGATGAAATTAGTGCTGTACATATGTCAATTATTCTACATGTACCATGGTGTTACATAGTGACCCTCAAATGAATATATGGTGAAAATGTGTTAGTTTTAAGGTCATATATATTATATAGATATGTTTATAGAGTCATGTGGACCTCTCTCCCCAACTTACGCCATTATGATTCACAAGCAATGCAGTCCTGACTACATACTGCTCTCTAGCTTTTTTTTTTTTTTTTTCAGTCATGCATGCTATTAATCATGTCTTAACTTCGCCCCGTTGGGAATTCATCAGAATTAGGATTTATTGGAAAAAATGAGTGGCAGACTGTCATTTCCAAATGAAAAAGAGTGAAACACCAAATGATATCCTTTTTAATCATCACAAGGTGGGATTGACAAGTAATTAATTAAATGGTAATGATATACGCTGTCAGCCCTATTCAATCATTCTGTAAAGCAGCTTTTATTAATAGCGTCATAAAGGACCAAAGGAAGTGGCTTAATCAGAATAATAGAGAGTTTTGAAATTGTCGCTGGAACATGGGGTGGGGGTGGGAGGTTGTTTTTGCGGTATGAGGTCTTGAGGAAGGAAAAACATTGCTCCCACACAGAGAACTGTAGGAGCAGATGAGGAGTGTATAAGCCATGACGACCGCCTGCGCATCTCATGAAACTGATCGACTCCAGAGAAAAGCTACAATGCTTTACTGATTTCATCTGCTAAATCCACATGAACTCTGAGTGGAAGAGATACATTAAAGAGAAATGTTTAATCTTAACACAATTGAAAACTTTGCAAGAGCCATGTTTGGAAGCAACATTTGGAAGCTGGTACTAATACTTTGTAGCACCTGTTGAAATTATCACTTGGGCCAAAGTCAGCTGAGACAAACAGAAACAAATCATCAATCAACTTGAAAATAGAAAATAGAGAACACTAAATTATCTTTGTAATCCATGATGTCATTATGATGTAAAGCCCAGAGCTTTTCAAAAGATACCGATACTGTGGTCTAATTGATGGTCTGTTAACAGAGATTAATGTATATTGTCTCATCTCATACAAACAGGCAAGAAAGTGCGACTTAGATATATAAGAGATGGACAGAAAGTAAAGGAATAAAAATGAAAGCATTTAAAGAGCAAGGAAAGACAAGCAATTAAAGCAAGTTAAATAACTACATGACAGAGGGGTAGATACTGTATTTTCAGAACTCAGAAGCAATGATTCCTTCATTGGGATTCTGTATGATCACATATGCCCTGAAAATGTGTATTGTGTACTGCAGATGTGTTTATTTCTTTGTGTCTACATTACCATCAACAGTGGGACCTGAAGATGGCAATGTTGTCTCTTTGTCCAGTCCTGTTATTTAGAATCAACTCACCATATTATTTGATACAGCTATGGTCCCTGGAGGATAATTCTTAATGATTTTGTTGACAACCTTTAACTATGTGCTTTGTGCCACAATTGGGTCAGATCAGATGAGGTTGTCATAGTCAGGTGGGCAGCTGTTTTCACCACATCCAGCAAATGTTGGATGTGGTGTGATTGCATATAAAGTTAATGCAAAGACGTATGTAAATGTCAATGTATTTGCTCTGGCCAGCGCATATTTAAAGACAAGACACCACATATTTCTCCCAACGGAACGACTCGCAAACATTGTATTGTAACAATTTTTAGTAGGCACTAAGAATCACACATCGGGCAGACATGGAGCAAAATTACCACTCATTTGAAATTAGGTCTCTACCAAATCCTCAGGAAAATATCTGACCCATTAGCTAATAGATTCTCCATTATGTCCACTAGCTGTTTTTTGCAGGACGGGTAGTGTTCAGATGGTTTATCAGACCTTAGTGACTAAACAAATCTGCCTCTTCTGACTGTAAACAGTTGTTTAGAGCAGGAGTTGCAGGCCAGAAAAGCAAATCTATAAGCTAAAAGACAGTAAAATGCTGCATAGGGCTGAAGAGAACTGCAGAGTTGGGTGATTATCCTCTATGGGTTCAACACTATTATCGTCACTTGATCTATTATTGTTATAAAATATTGATTAGGGCAGCTTTTATGCAACAAATTGGTGCTAAATCTGGCGGATATCTTTAAATTACATAATTTTCCGTGACTGGACCCAAGCTAGTATGTCTCTGCCAGCAGTTTATATAATAGCTTTTGATGGTCCAACTCTATCTTTTGCACATAGCATTTGAGTTTAGCTTTATAAAAAGGTAATATTAGCTACACTGCCAAAAATAAAGCAAGCACTTATAATATCTAATATCTAATCTGGAAACATGTTGGTAATATCTGCCAACAGTAGAAAGGCCCATATGTGACAGAAGGGAAAGCCTACTGATATAAAAATCGTTTTGCTGACTGGTTTGTGTCTGTATCTTAACTCTCACTTTCTCTTGCTGTCTTTTGCTCTGTCCACACACATGCACACACACACAAACAGAACGCATGTATCTGCTTCAGCACAGTGGAGAAGACAGATTAGAACCTTCTCCAGATTTCACAGTGCTCCTCATCTGCAGCAGCCTGATAAACCCTGGAGAGACTGACTGTTACAGCAGGAGAGAGTAGAGAGAATCCTGCCTAAAGCTGCCCTAGTGGAACAGAATATCAGTGAAATTTACCTAACAATTAGTTTAGCTAGGTGACTTCCCTAAGGGATGCACATACAGTATGTCTCACTCATTAAAAGCTCTTGCTGTTGGCACATTAAGGCCCGACTTTATCAACCTTGCGTTTAGCCCTGAGGTGAGAGGGAATCTGCTTATTCTGAAAGGTCAGTGGCCTGGAACGGGAAGCCAGAAGAAATCGAATATTGCAGACTACTTTGAAACCCCCTCAGTGCTTGCTCCCATTTGTTCCGAGGGCCAGTAAATCAGTGGTTTGTTGTGGCCTTAACCTCAAGAACTGCCAGCAGAGCAAAGAGGGCGGGCAGGTGGGGTAGTGCCGAGTAGTGTTATTGTCATGCAACAGAGAGAGGTAGTCAATAAATTTGATAGAGTTCAGCCCCCTGGCACTTTGTTCACAATTACTCTCCTCCGCACAGACAACATCGAGCAGCAAACGCTGTGCTGGGCGTTCTCCCAGCAACACAAACCCAGAGTATTAGCTTTCATTTCAGTGATGAGGATCATCAGCTCTGTCTTAACAATCTGTCAGTGTGATTCAGCAGTTAGGGATGGATAATGTGACCGAGAGCAAGGCATCCAGTCAACCTGGATTAGCACTAAAGTAGGTATTATCTGATGAGCCTAATGATGGTTCTAGTGATAGCTGATTAATTAAAATGATTGAATGATTAAATTACAGGGTCACAATTGGGCTCATCATCAGCCCATGTGTTTTGTTGTGGGCAAGTAGCACCGGGTGTTCATCTTATCGCGTCCTTGCAGGCTTATTTTATAATTCTATCCATCATCAAAGCATTTCATGATACAAAAGAAAGCAGCCTGAAAGGCCCATAATGAGGCGTTGGGAATGAGATCTCTATGGCTCTGTTATTGATTGGAGATGTTTATGCGACCGCAGAAGTAATGTCTTCACAGTAATATTTTGGAAATATAACTCAAACAAATACATTTGGCTGAGTCGTGTGGCCAGGGAAGGGTGATGGATGATGAGGGGAATGCATTGGGACGGCAGACACCTCACCCATTAATCTGCAGAACTGCGCTGTCTGTGTCTGTTTGCATGGTAACATCAGCTCCCCATTACTCATTTAGCTGCCGCCCATTATCAGTTTGTTGATGAAGGACTTTGCCTCTAAAAGATTTGGAGGGTACTTTTGCCTCCCCTTCTAAAACTCCTACAAGCTCACTGAGGTGTCAGTTCTGGGCGGTAAAGCCACTTAATTGCTGCACTCACCATATTTCAAATATAAGCATCCCGGATGAGGTATCCCAAAGCCTCTCAGGAAATGCTAAAACTTATTACACTACAATTAAGCACCTCAGTCGGGTATGTTGTTGTGTTCCAAAGCTTGGAAACTGATGGGAGCATTGTGTCAAAGTGCACTGTAATTTAAAGAGCCGTAAACTTTAGTTTTAATTACTTCTTCAATAAACTGTTGTAAACTGTATCCAACAGATTCCAAGTGTTGACCTCAGTATACCTGTAAATTGCACAAAACAAGTCTTTTGACCTGTGGTATTTGAAAATGCTCTTGTGAAGAAGGTATGTGGCTGTGGGCGGGTGTTGTGGTTGTGACTGTGAGCAATTATCTGTCACACTGCCATTACCAGGCATGTTGTGTATAAAGCACTGTTCAAAAGCATAAGCAAAGCCTTTCCCTCAGCTATTGTACTGCAGGGGCTCTACACAGGATGAATTAATGTTAGAAGAAAAACTAATATCAACCATCATTCACTGTCTTTGTACAAGTGCACCCTGGAGTGCTTACTTATCCACTTACCTTTAAAAAGAGGAGGGACATGATGATTTTGCCATTTAGGAACAGAAAGGGAGACAAATAAGGCTGAATGCTGAAGGCAGTCTGGTTGTCAAGAGGCAGGTTTTGCAGGATAACCCCAAACTGTCAGCTTAGCCATCCAAAACAATGACATAAAGCTTCTGCAATGACATGACTTAAGGTGCCTGGGCCAGTTCAAAAATCAAATTCTTCTTTTAAGGTCCAGTGTATAACATTTAGGAGGCTCTATTGCTCGAAATGGTTTTCATAAGGAAATGTTTTTTGTTCATGGAAATTATATTTTTTGGGGGGGGCTTTTATTGCCTTTAATTGACAGTGACAGCAGAAGATTGACTGGAAAAGTCGGAGAGATAGGGGTGATGACAAGCAACAAAGGGCCACAAGTCGGAGATGAGCCCATGGCCGCTGCAGCACAGACGAGCGAGGTCGCCTTCCATAGAGGCTGCCATGTTGAACTGCTGCATTTCTACAGTAGCCCAGAATGGACAAACCAAACACTGGCTGTAGATAGGGACTTTTGCATTTTTTGCCACCATAGTTTCTCCTACACACTTCACGGCCCGTTCTCATTCCCAGGTCGTCAAATACAGACGCGAGCAGTGTTCAGTTAATTGTAATCTGAATCTTTACTGCTAGATGCCACTAAATCCTACACATGTCTTTTAAAAGAAAGATCTATAATTATGTTGTCAGCACCCCTGCTCCAGAAACATTGGAAGCTGGTTGCAGGGGATATTAAACATCTTTATGTTGAATTGGCTTTCCACATCTCTGACACCCAGCACTCAGCCACACAGAGGCCAACACTAACCATCAATCAGCATGACACTCAACACATTGCAAGCTTTCTGTGTCCAGACCTTTCTGGCAATTTCAAGCTACTAATTAACCGCTGTAGGCTTGTCTTCATGTATTGATCCTGCCTCAAGTGTTCTAAGCCAGGGTTTAACCTGGACTGTGTCCACTCTGGTGCTGTCTACAATGAAAATCTATTATTTCACATGTGTCTTCAAAGAGAACTTTGGCATAAAACTGATGATTTTTTGTGGGGTTTTTTTGTTCTGGCAAACTGGCCGGATCTGGCTTCAGATCTCAGTTTGGCTTGTTAGTTCAAGAAGTGGCAAACACCCATTTTCAAGCAGCCATTGCTGGAGCTACACAGATTTGGTCTAAAAATAGAACAAATCAAATCAAGAGTAGCAGAGATAACTGTGCTTCTATCAGTTATGATGTTATCCTCATACTGATACAGAGATAGCCTCAGATAATGTGTGATCAAACAACAAGCAAGAGAATATTACTTACTGAAACGTCTGTAGGGGAGCCAGTTGAGTTTGAGTTTCAGTCAGTTGAGGTGCCGTTCTGGATTTTAACAAGCTCTTCTTTGGAATACCCAGGTTCAGTCTCTGAATCCCAGCAGTGTTTGACCTGCAGTTGTAGGCCGACCTGCCCCCATCAACAAAAACAGTAAAAGCTGGATCTCCGAAGCAAATTTATTTATTTAACACTTTTTTCTCAGCTCAACTTTCACAAAACTACTATATCAGTAGTTCTTGTGGTGGAAACGATGGTACATGAGTCTCATGTTTTAGCGTACCTCACGTTTTTGTGCCTTTTTTTCGTCAATTTGGGATGTGAAAAGATTTCCACACAGTCAGAAAAAGTAAATGTGTGCGTCCTGCTTCTAGTTCAGTTATAAAATCCCAGCACACCACAGAGTGCCTCTCTCTCTGGCATCACACTATCACTCTTCTCCGCTTCCGCAGTTAGTTTAGTTTTGTGGTTTGTGGTCATTTTAAGACTCTGTTTGTGAAGTTTATAGACTGCCATGCTGTTGCTCTGTGTACAGTGATGCAGCTAAAAGACAAAAGTGCAGAGATTCGACTGACAAAATGCGAAATACGTATGACTTGAATCGTAGAGTTTTTAGGGGCAGGCCTTATATGATTTATTATTTTTTTCACTAACAGGTTAATGTAAGCCTGCAAAAGCCCACACACAAAACAGCAGCACTAACACTCATTGCCTGCAGGTGGCGCACGTGTTTGTGAATTAACGGTTTTGTGAGTTCTGGATGAAAGGCAAATTAGAACAAATAGTAAATGTCAAACTAAAGCCTGTATTTGTCTTCTGTAGGGTGCCCAGTGGATCCTAGCAGGAGGAGGGCAGCAGACGTGATGCCGTCTCATTCTCACATCATCAGACCTCGTGAAGTCACAGGTGGCTTCAGAGGAGGGAGCCTGTCCTCCAGAAACATCCTCCAACTCAATGGCAAGCACTTTAATCCACAGCCCACTGACTCCTGTCTGTGTTTATGTTCTGACATATCATTTAACTTCACTTTCAGTAACCGTGTAGTTCATGTTTTTCCCCACCTTTCAGCTAATTTTTAAACACATACTCATGTGTGTATTCTACACTACGGAGCAATTAGTGTCTTTTATTTGGGCGGTGACCATGCTCCTGCCTTGATCAACTCAACCTGATCCATTTCACATTCAGTCTGTTGGCTGCACCACTGAGCTACTCAATTTTCAGCCTAATTGAGCTTGCAGAAGCATCTCTGGTGGCTAGCCACAGTCCTGTTTGTATTTTGTGTGTGCGTGTGCAAGTGTGTGTGTGTGTGTGCATGCGTGCGTACAGTCCAAGCAGAGGAACACACACTGGGGAAACCAATTTTTTCCTCAATTAGAGAAGCTGTCGCAAGTCAACTGGCGTGTATTCCTAAATTTGTCCTTAAAATGTGGACTATGACTTAAACACACACACACACTCACAATGAGAGGAATCACATTAGAAAGAGTTGAAAACAAGCAGATAATTGCTTATAATGATATAAAATAAGTCTGGCAGGTCTAGAATTTCAGCGCACTCAGTGGAGAACAGACCTTATAAATGTTGTGTAATTATCTTTCACACACATTAGCTCATAGCACACTACATACAAACACACCGATAAAAAATATGCATATGGAAGCACAAACAAACAAACATGGACTGTATAAAACATGTTGACAAATGAATGCATGCGCATGTTCAGAATATATTCCCTAAACTGTTGCAATCATTTATTCACAGCTCTTGTTACTGAGCAAACAGTGTCTGTTCACTGTTTGCTTTGTTTCTTACCTATCTCACCCTCCTCCTCTTCCCCCTCCTCCCCACCGCCAGCTCTACATTACTCTAGTCTCTCTTCCACATCGAACTCTTTCCTCTCTCCACTCCACTTTCCCGTGCCATTTAAACATACATCGCGCCTAATTGCTTTCACTGGAGTCCAGTCGCAACAGTAAGCCACACTCAAGCTGTATTGTGTGTGTGTGTGTGTGTGTGTATGTGTGAGTGTGTGTGCACTCCGTCCCCCTCCTGTCCCACTCGTGTCTGCCTCTGCCTCTAAAGGAAGCCGTGTAAGCAGACACTATCTGGTTAGGTGATTGGCAGTCGACCCAGTGCCTCTGTGATAAGGAGGCTTGGGGAAACTGTCCGGGGATAAAGTGTGATAACGGGAAAGAAAAACAGAGAGTGGAGGGAATATACACAAGCACAGAAAACTGTTACTGTGATGTAACAAAAATTACATTCTTTATACATTATTGATTGTATTTTCTTTGATGTGTTGTTTGATTACAATATGTAAGATACTGTGCTGTTTGCTTAGTGGTTGGTTGAACTTCTGGTTAGATTGTACTGGTTATCATTGCTTTTATAAGTTCATTATGGTTGCAGAGAGAGTTCAACTCATTGCAGCTAAAGAAAACTGATAAAATTGATAAAAGACACGGAAATGACAAAAAAAAGAAACGCAAAAACAAGTAAGTCAGTAACACATTCACCAATTTGGCAACACATAGGCAACCTAAAGGTACTGCAAACTCATTGCAAGTAGTACAGAACAAGGCATAACTGAGTTACAAAACATTTGATATATAGCATATATCTACAGTAATGCTGAAGGTGTTTCTTCATTTGCTTGTGTTTTATATATTTTCAAAATGGGGTTTTCCTGAATGCAATATATGTACTGTCAAAGTGGGGAAGGAATTGTTCAGGAAATCTTTTACTAAGTTGAGGTGCATTGAGCTCTCGGTGAGTGACATTTATTGAAAGTTGCAATGTGAGTAGGGTTGGTTATCATTTAAAAGGTTTACATATCTGCAGCAATAATATACCTCTTTTACTATTCCTATACCTTACTTTGAGAAATATACATGTTTTTCTAGGTTAGTGAAAGTTTCATAATGACTGTAACTGGATACATTTGGTTTATTGTCCAACCCTAAGCTAAGTAATGTTCCTGAAGAGCTTAAATATGAAGCTGCATAAGCCTCATGTCTCTTTTTCTGTCATCCTCTTTTTTCCTCTATCCAATCATCTGTGTTCATCAGCCGATGAACTGATGTAGGGTTCAGTTTTTCTGTCTATGCTGCACTGCTCATTTCTCTAAGATTTGTAGCCATTTTTAGTCAATGCGGGTTTATGTTCCTGCCTGCTGCAAAACGTACTCCATCACATAGCTACCAACTGAGTCGGGGAAACGTAAATCTGTTTTAAGATAACAAAAACTCCGTTTCAGGGATGCAGTTCTGGGTTTGTTCATGTCTGAGTGTTGCATTAGGCACATTCTCCTGTCGAAGCTTACAAAGAACATGGGTAATTTGCATGATCCAGCCCAAATGAGGATGGAGTGTTTGGTGACTCGTTGATGAATCAGGTATTTTAATTAGATATTTTGCAGAGGATACACTGCCATGGAGGTGAAAAATAATTTGGGAGGAGAGAGCAAGTCTGTTTTTCCCAGCAGTAGGGCTTTGGCCCAGTTGTAGTGGTGCCAGTTGTTTGACTGTTGTCTGTGTACAAGCTGTTGTTTCTGTTGCTCCAACAATGCTTTAATCTGTCACAACTCTCTCCCTTGGACATTTGGAGGATTTTTAGAACATATGGTCAAAATGGCGAAGAGATTAGATTCCACTCTGTTCAGTAAATATATTCACGATTGTGGCCTGTTTCTCCTTCACAGCGAGGAACACTGCACAAGCACACCGACTGGAAAAAGATGGGGATCGGGTGCCGTTGTTCAGACGCGGGATCAGAGCTGATGCCATCGTGCCCGGAGAGCACAATCTAAACGAGCCTGACGGCGGCCGCCGCAAGCTCGACTGCATGGCTGCCGTGCATCAGAGGGAGGGCAAGGAAGATGCTAAAGTGCCTACGGTCACGGTGAGGTCAAACTTTGAGCATAGCCCAAAGGGGAGTCACAAATAGCCTCTTATCTGTTAAGCAGAGCCACGGTTAGTCTGTCCCCGTGTGTCTTCTTCACTTAAATCTCAAACGGACAACAAAGACAGAGCAAGAGCAGCTTTCGTTCTGGCTCTGAAACATGTCACGAGGGAGCTTTCGTAGAGGTGTGGAGCGCTCCCAGACAGCCCGCCAGTGTTGCAATTCTCGTGGCGATGTGCCCTTCAACCCTCTCTGTTTTAGTGACTGTACAAGAAGGTGTTAATTGTTCTTCCACCCGAAGGCACGTCTTGTACTTTCACCCATGGGTGCACATGCTAAATGTGATTTTGGCTGCGGTGCATGTCTGTCTGAAACATTTTGCACATTACATTTCCTCTGGTAAGACCTGTGTTTTAGTTGTTTCACACCTCCATAACAGCCAATACTATGTGGAATATAACTGTTTCCTGCTTGCACCCAAAGAAAATTGTAAGAGTTGCTTTGCAATTAAATTTTCAGGGCTGACAGTGGTGACTTAATTTGGTCCAGGTTCATAATGTCAGTGCACTAAACATCTTGAGAACCTAAATATTATATTTTCCTCTTACACTTATACTTACCTCCCTGATTTTGAAATTCAATTTGATGTGTTTAATTAATTAATCATTATTATTATATTTAAATGAGTGTGCATACTGGCCAGAATCCCTGCCATCATGCAGTTTATTGTACCCTTTGTAATATTTAGAGTGCAGGGAACAAAACCACAGTATGCTCATAGGGTCAAATTTAGTTGTGAGTGCATAGTGAAATTTATGACAAATACAAATTTAATGATGGATGGATTCCTTTTGTCACCAACTGTTAGATTGTCCTAAAAGAAAAAACTGAGTAGAGAAAGTGTGTCTGTTGTTTACTTTACCATCTGCTTTGGAACAAGGCTGCCAAACTTAAGGAACTAAAAATTTGAGTCTAGATGATATTGATTCCTTTCCAAATAACTGTGCTTAGTGTTCCAAGGGTGAAATATGTCCACAGTGAAACTGTGGACCTATGGAATGTTGACGAACTATAGAAAAATATAATTGTCTTGGAGGTTCTGAGAAGGTAATTTCTTGCTCATAAAGCTTGGCCTTGAAGAAAAAAAACATTAATACAAAACAACATCAAGCTTGCCTTTCCCTTCTTGCAGAGCAACTGTGTTCCATCTCCAACTTGTAATCAGAACGCAGCCGTGAATGTATTCATCAAGAATGTGTTATTGTATGCCTTGAAATAGTCACTGAAATGTCAAAGAGAAATGTCTGGTTTATTGCAACCTGGATTTTATTTTTTTAGTTTTGGCCATAATTTCTCTCAGTTATAATAATATTGTACGCACCAAACTAGGGTAGGTTGATTTTAAACCAGGAAGTCGGTCTGTAAACCATGATCGATCTTTAAAGTGGAAAGTCTATAGGGGTCTATATATTTTAAAGATTGTTATGATATTGTGTTGCCTGGTGTTACACTGTAACATATCTTTTAGTATTTGCCATTGTTCTTGGGTGACAGGATCGGACTAAGGAAGCCCGGTTAGCTAAAGAACTTCGTCATATCAAACCCAGCGAAGAGCTCAGCAAAGCGGAGGGCATCGCCAACATGCTGAGCCAGGCCATCACCACCCAGCACCTGCTCTATGCCAGCCTGGGCTCTGCTGAGTACATGGAGTTTGTCCTTAAAAATCCCTTTAATGTACCTCAGACCGTCACCGTTCACTGTGATGACCCTGAGCTCAGGTAAGACTGCAGTGCAAACATTGAGGGGGTGTCAGTCTGGCACACCGCCCTTAACTGTTTGATAAGTGTGATTGTATATTCCACTGGCAAAGATGTAATCTGAGAAAACTATTAATGTGTTTGTTAGTCATGCTTTTCAACTTTTAAATTGGGTGGATTTTACAAGTTTATACTGTATGTGTGTCCCCAGTCTGACACACCAACTGAGAGCTGAGAGCAGTGGTTTCTGTACTGTATGTGTTCTCCATTGTCAGACCGTAACAAACCATGCCCAAATCGTGAAACTGTGTTCACACGTTCTGAATGTGTTTCCAAAGGTGATAGTGTAGCTCTGGAGATAGTTCTTAGAACCTATTTTCATCCTGCTTTAGGAAACAATGCAGTGTCCTCACACTTGACCCTCCCCAAGTGACAGCTTAGCTCTTCCCCTGTTCCTCAACAATGTTCAGTCTCGATGCAGAGAATGCTGGTCTTTTGTAAATACAAACAGTAGATGGCAGTAAAACAACATTGCACTGGATATGATCTATCGTTAACACAAGAGGAAGAAGTTTGTTTGTTTTTTTGGCCCATTTGCATTCAGACACTGCCAGATTCCTCGCACAGGCCAGAGGGCAGCTCAAATACATTATAATATCATAATTATTATTAAAGTCAGTTGTCATCTTGTGTTTGTATGTTAAAGGTCCAGTGTGTAGCATTTAGTGGCATTTAGCAATGTTGCAGATCGCAATTCACTCTCTCCTTTCAAGCACAATGGAGAAACTACTCTGGTGGCACTACTGTAGAGACATGGCGAGGGATACATACATCTTTATATACACCCCAATCAGCCATAACATTATGACCACTGACAGGTGGTCATGGCACCTGTCAGTGGGTGGGATATATTGGGCAGCAAGTGATCACTTTGTCCTCAAGTTGATGTGTTAGAAGCAGGAAAAAAGGGCAGCGTGAGGATCTGAGCGACTTTGACAAATTGTGATGGCTAGAAGACTGGGTCAGACTGCATCTCCAAACAGCAGCTCTTGTGGTTCCCGGTCTGCAAAGGTCAGTACCTATCACAGTTTGTTGGTATGGGGCTGCATAACATTGTGACCACCAGAGTGCCCAGTCGGTCATAATGTTATGGCTGATTGGGGTGTATATAAAGATGTATTTATATATATATATATATAAATTGTAGGGTTCTTGCAGTACAATAAACAATATCAAAGAATATAGAATATAGATAGAATATAAGGATACTGTAAAGGAAAGGCTCCAGGTGGAGACATTTCAAGGAAGGAATTGTGCATATCAAGATGAAGTTAAGTCATGAAGAGGTTTCCTTGTGTGACTGTGTTTTATTCAGGTTGTGGGAGTTGTGTTGGATTCACAGCTTGCTCACTGTTTTGATATGATGCATGTAAGTGTAGGTGTAGGTGTGTACTAATGTGTGTGTTTGCATGTGTGCCTGTTTAAGGATTTGAAATTGGTTTTATTTACTGTTTTGACACATCTTGTTTGTACGTGGTGGGTGCGTTTTTTAGTCTTTGAATTTTCTAAATTGAGACAGCATGTTTTGTGTGTGTGTGCACGCGCTTGCCTTACACTTTTTAATTTTGTTCACACTTTTGAGATGTGTGTACTTTTATTTATGAATAAACATGCTAAATTATTAGTTGCTCAGTGCAAATAGCAGCCGCATTTCCAAACACATTTTGTATTTGTATGTCTGCATGAATAAGGAAGATAAAGTGTAATAATAGTGTAATTATAATACTGTAAGCATATAAACAAAGAAGATTCCAGCTCCTTCAGTAGCACAATCGGTTGTCCTTGACACAGATGCAAGCATAATGCTGGTGAGATGCTAAATACCCCCTTTAATCCACACATAGCAGCCATTATGACTGACGTTTCCTGGATCACCTGTTCTTGGTATCCATGTTGTGTTTGCTTCCTTCAGTTAGCATCATTGTTAATCCCCCCATACTGAATCTTTTGTTACAGATTCTGCTCATGCCTGAGCTTTGGATTAACATATATCACGTTGATCAACAAAGGCTGGAGTGCGCCATGGATGAATCATTATGGCATTAGCCCGGCCACCGAGCCTACCAGGTCTAATTGAGAGTCATCAATCCCAGCATCTGTCCTCTCGTCGGCTTAGCGCCCTGTTGGTTTATATATTTATTTTCCTGATGAGGCAGCGTGACACTTTACACCAAACCGTCTGCCACCTCCACCAAGAGCCAGAAATGTGTAAATTAGCAAGGAAGCTTTTGCATTTGATGTGCTTCTACCATAGCATGTTGGATTTCAAGAGTCAGTCAGTACTGTTACGTGTATTGTTGTCATATAGGCCTATGTGAATGTGATCTCTATAGAAGAGATGAGCAGGTTGTGGAAGAAAAATTCAACTAAATCATTTTGAGTTGTATAACTGCTTTCTGGGTTTATGTCACCTTTTACCACCTAGTTCAGGATTTCTCAGGATTAAGTTGTAATGTTAGAGCAATCGTCTGCATTCGATCCTCCACCTGTTGGACACTGCTTTGCAATCTGGTTTGATTAATCCACTTGTTGAACCACCTGAATAATTTCCTTTCACTCATTCACACAAAAACTATAAGCTGGCATTTTAGGATGATAAGCAGTAGTTAGAGACGGCTGCAGCTTAAAGATTGATATAGTTATACAACCGTAATAATGCATTTCAAGGTCGGATTGTAGTGTTTTTTTTCAGTACAAACAATAGTCTGTGGGACGCCAACGCACAGGTGCACACAAATACAAAAAATACACTTGTTGTGTTGTTTATGTTTTTGGGGAAAAGTTGATTTTGCTGAGAATTTCCAAGAAATCCATGGATCATCTGAATTCCTGGTATTCAGCCAGTATTCAACCCTGCTGTGCTTGTTTAATGAGGCAATATGAAATATATTCTTACATGGACTTGCCAAGTTTATGAAGTTCTAAGGAAATTTGTACACAAACAACCAATCTGGCCCCTTTACCTCTGTTATCCTGGACTGCTTGAACCATAGCTTGGGTTGAGGCTACTCTGCTGTTACTTCCTTGTCAATATTTCAACCAATATTTGACAAGGAGCTTTCTTGAGAACACAAGCAAGGCCTTGGTTTAGCTCTTTGTTCTACAGAAACAAACAGACAGAAGTCTGACCCTCAACCTGAAACCCAGCGTCCGGCTTTGAAGGGAGGATGCTTAAAGAGAAGCTAAGCTAGCTTTAGCTTTGATGTCTGCAGTGGTTTCAAGCCCAGCGGCTCCACTTGACATGGAGGACGCTACCTGTTGCCATCCATTTTGCATGGCTACCTTTTACACTTGGCCTCAAAGAGGTTAGTGTGAGCCATGACTGCTGGCTAGCAGAGAGATAGGAGACTATACAGCTCCTCTGCTGCTGCTTTCTCTCTCAGTATTTCTCCCTCTCTTTGTCTCTCTTCTTCTCTGTGCTTTCTCAGCTCTGCTTTCATTCAGGTCTCTCTCTTGATGTCCTTTTAATCATCTTTATTCTTTTTTCCTTCTCTGTTTTTATCTGTATTTATCTCCGTCTGTTTGTCCTCTTCACCTCCTACCTTGTTCTATTTTCTTTCTTCAAAAATGAATCAACCCATGCTGTTTTTTATGGAGGCTCAGGTGAAACGCGCTCACACATAGACACTTTGTTGTCATGATAAGCCACAGGCAAAATGTTTTATTCCACGTGCACAGGTGGGAATCTCCAAATAAGTTTCACGGAATTGACTGTTGCATTTCGACCTAATGTTAGTGAGGTGGGGCCCTGCAAAATGTATAAAGTCTCGCTCTTCTATTGAGAGAAATTCCCTTCTCCATGCCCATGGGTTGGAACCTTTGATGTTTAAAGCAGCACTTCCCTTTATGCATTTGTGCGTGAAATGTTTGCATTCCAAGGATTGGAGGGGGCTTTCACTGACCTTTATACATTTGAAAGCTACTATCAGTAATTAAAAAGAAAGCATTGTGTTTTGTGTGTTGACTGCTCGACCGTGGAATTAGCTCACTTCAATTGCTGGCCATACAGTCTACTTAACATTGACTGAATCACTTTGTAAGAGTTGGAAATCGGTGTTGTTTGTCTGTATTAAAGGGAACTATATTTTGGTATTTTAGATGCTTTTCTGGATCCCCTGGAGAGATCTGTACGGAATGTTTACCATGGCCACACATCAAAGATAAAGGATTTTTCCTCCCTCTCAAACATAGCTAATATTTTAAAGCAGCTATATCAATATTTTCATTTTAACAATGAATCAAATAACAGTGTGAAAAAATAACAGAAGAATTGGATTATGGGTAGTATCCAGTGATCTTGGAGCTTGACCAATCCTGACCAATTACTGAAAAGTCAGGATATCTCAGCCTCATCAGTTTCAACCATGCTTTTTTTTTGGCAATACTAAATCTCTGCAATACTGCTTTAATTTGATTTACTTAATACCTTTTAGAATTTGGAATTAGTGATGTCAGTTGTTATTCCATCCAAAACTTGTCAACATATCTCAACAACTACAGGGCACCTTTCCACAAAGTATTCTGTGGATATTCATGCTCAGAGCTCAGAGGGTGAATTGGAAATTCATAACGTTTTTCATGACCTCCTGACACCAAATGAAATTTAATGAACACATTCATGCTCTCAATAGGATGAGTCATTTCCATTTTGTTCTGCTCTTATCATACCGCAGGATGATGTGTTCCTGATCGCGTAACAAGTCCAGCTCTAATCCTGGATGGATGGATCTCTTAAAGATATACAAGGGGCCTGCTTTCATCTCATTCATGTCCTTTAATCTTTCCACCCAGTGTCATCACTAACACGGAGGAGTGGGGTTACTTCAAAGCACTAACCAAAACTCCGACCCTGCTGGAGGAGAACATGTTCCACTTGGAGGAAGGTGCCCCAGGTCCCAGGGTTTACCTCCGGCCCAAGGAGAGCATCCATATCCCCCTGAAATACCAGAGCTTCCTCTGTGACCACACCATGGCCCTCCAGGTACAGTGAAGACCATAGGTTGACACTGATGGAACGGTTAGGACTGGTTAACATAGTAAACCATGTTTTAGGAATGGTAATTATTGCAGGATGCAGTATTTCTGTCAATCGAATTGTATTTCAGCTGTCAGATGTTATGTTTGAACCCTTGAAAAAGGTTGGATTTGTTTTACACTGCATATTCCTTCATCACAGATGATCACAGATGAACGATCAAAATTACTCTCTCCTGATAAAACAGTATTTCTACTTATTGATTCCATTTTAAGAAAACCTTTTCAAATTGATTGGCCTTGAGTGGTCCAAAAATGTGCTCCTGGTTTGAGAAAACCATGGGAATAAGAGATGGAGCAGTGATAAAAGTTTAAGTATTAAGTATAAATGTCAAATACACCTCAAGGATTATTAACTATAACTGATCTATTCCAAGGGCAAGTCATACGCCTGTAACAGCAACTGAAGCTAAAGGACAGCTCAAAATATATGTCATTTATGTAGGTTGTGCTCTTATCTCTTGTAGATGACTGGGGGTGTTTACGTCCTTTGGTTCTTTTCTTATTCTTGTGATCATTTACGGTTTGCTTGCCTGATGCGCAGATGTAATATTATCTTTGCGGCCATTTGCTGTTTTTTGGTAGATAATCAATTGTGATAACTATTCTGTTTCCAATCAAATCCTCACAGGGACCAAGCTTCCTACCTACAGGCAAAGGTTCTCAGGTGGCCAAGAAGAATCTGTCCAATATTGTTGCTGCCAAGACTATCAAGGTACAGAGTGTGCTACTTATGCTTTGTGCAACATTTTCTGTATGTTGGACCATCTTTATCTCCTTCTGTCGTCTTCTGCTCCTCGTTCCCTTGGTTGTTTGTCTCCAGGCTGGAATTACAGTAAGCTATGGATTGGAGATGTACTGTGGATGTACAGAATGTTTTTCTGCCATGATAAGAGCTTTAACATAGTACATTTTAAACCTTTTTAGCATCTTAGGGCATATGAATTGATTGTTAGATTCAGATGAGTAGAGGAAGATAAAGCTACCTAAACTCAGTATATAGTATGAAGCTTTCAATCTGGAGTGTAGTCGGGTTAAACCTCTGGTACATCCCTAAGTCGAACAACATCTAGTGTACACACACACTCCCAGACAACTCTCTGTGGAGTGGCAGTGCACCGCCTTCTCCCGCCTCTCTTCTCCCACACAGTCACTGCTCAGACACAAAGAACGCTTTGAAGTGTCAACTATTTAAAAAGTTACACTAGCCAGACAAGATTGTCAAGCAAAATTATATGCTGGAAATCACTTTTATCTTACTGAACATTATTTATCTTCTCCGACTGGCAAATGTCAGACTGGAGAGTTAAACGATCTCCGATTGGAGGACAACTTAACACGTCTGGCTAATCTACGTTAAATAAACCATGCATATGTATTATATCCGAAGTTATTTTCCCATTTTATGCACTTACTCGACTGTTTATAATATGTTAGAAGTTTAGATGAGGGAGAAACAATGTGAATGTGCTGGTTCGGATGTACTTCAGATAAGACAACACACTCCATATCTGTATGTGACATAATGTGCTCTGCAGTCCCTGTGTGCTACAGCTGTCACCAAAATTAACTTCTGTTCCTAATGAATCCATTCAAATTGAAATTTTGTCCCTCTCTCTACAGACGTGAGCTTACCTTATTGGCACATTTATGCTGCTTAAAAAAAAAGATATCCATCACTGTGCGCTAACCTGCAGTACCTCGCAATAATCCTGTTGTTCGTGTAGAGTACAGTACCCTGAAGCACTCCCATTGCACAGGGTGATGAAATATTTGCCAGTCTGCCAAGCGCGTGTGTGTCTGCCTACAGTATGTGTGTATTCGTGTGTCAGTGTCAGCACTGCTGCTCTGAGCAGAAATCCTGTCAAGAGGTCAAAGAGGTCGGGTCTGGATCAAATCTGTGTCCCGCTATAACTGACAAGCCCCAACAGCAGAGCTGTCAGGATGCCAGCTTTGGCACCGCTGTCAGTCAGCACACATCACCAGAGCCAGATATGGGCCACTCCTGCAGGTCAGCATGGGCTTGCAAATCTGACCCATTCACAATTTGGACTGCGCCTTTTTGGCAGGGATCAACTTCTGAGTTTGCAAATCAGTGACCAAAATGTGCCAAATTGACTTCATAGTATAGTCCATTACCAATTACTAGATATTTAAATCTGTCATGCATTCGTACATTACTCCCTACTCCCAACATTACTCCCATATGTGGAAAGAGATGACTGTTAATCTGCTGCTCCAACAGCCTCTGCTCCTCTGGAAAGGCTTTCCAACAGATTTTGGACCCAGGCAGCAGGGATTTGTTCCCATTCAGCCACAAGTACATTAGTGAGGTCGAGCACTGATGTGGGCGATAAGGCCTAGTTCACAGTCGGTATTGGATGAGGTGACGACAGGGCGCTGTGCGGGCCAGTCAAGTTCTTCCACAACAGACTCAGAAAAAACATTTTCATATATAAACCATAATATGTTTTTAGATGGCTTTGTGTGTGTTTTTACAATGTTGGATTGGAAAACTATGAATATTTGTGACTAGTTCCTCCAAAAAATCCTATAAATAACCACAAAGGAAGAAAAAAAATTGTAAGAGATTTATGTTTACTGAAATAAACACCTGGTTTGTCTGCACTACTAATTTGTCACCCAAGCAGCAGTGAAAACAGTATTTTACAATGTAATCAGATTTTTTTGATGAACATGCAACTAAAGGCAAGACAACAACAACACGGCAAGAGTAAAGCTTTTATCTCACCTGAGAATGTGAAGTTGATGGTAAGAACACAATGAGTAGTACTTCTACTAGTGTTTCTAAGGTTTCTCCTGGAGTATGTAGTGAGGTTTTAGTAAGGTATAAAAACTATAAAGGTTTTCCTGATGGTGGCAGCAGAGGAAAGGCCTTGAGGTCATCCCAATGTGTGAATTTGATGGCAATCTGCCAGTTAGACTCAGAAATATTTGGAACATATTTTGGCCCAAAACTGACGTGATAGGAAAGGTTGTGGAATTGAGTGTGCTCAGTTCATTTCTTGGCAATCTGGCCCAAGTGGAAATTCTGGCCTAATTTTGGCACAACGGGAAAGGACAGGGAGTCAGCTGAAACATACGGACTCATCCACTGGAGAAATTAATGTTCACAGCAGATTTCATGTGAATCAGTCCATGAAATTTCTAGATAACCTTGTCTAGTGTTGGATAAAGGCAAATTGTCTACTCTGATCTTCCAGTCCGGGCACAGTCAGCTAATAGGACAGCTACCTGCAATGAGCTAATTAGCTAATGGCAGCTACAGTTAGCAGTACTTAGCGGCTAAGCTAACTCCTAACATCAAGTAAAGCTATCTGTCCATCAGGAAACTCCGTACATCACAGAAAGTTGAAGCAGGGCAGCCGGGAGACATCAGAGGGAAACCCAGAAAATATTTTCTCCATTAAATATGATGCAGTTTTGGGGTGCTTTGGTAGCTCACCTGGTAGAACTGGCCCATGTACAAAAGGCTAAGTCCTTGCTGCAGGTTGGAGTCCGTCCTGTGGCCCTTTGCTGCACATCATCTCTCTCTCTTCCCCCTTTTTGTTTCTATCTGGAGCTGTCTTGTCAATAAAGGCAAAAAAATATTTGAAAAAATCAAATAAAATATGATCCAGTTTCACCAAAATCAGTGAACAAAGTTATTATCGGTTATTATCGGTTAGTCAGGCCCGGCCCACAGATACTCTCCGCTTTTTTGATCATTTTTCCAACCTAATTGTTGTCTCATTTGAGTTTTGATAAATAGTACATTTACCAAATTCTGCGCTCCATATCGCATATTTTCCAAGCTAAATCACTGTAGCTTGTCATTTGCCGTTAAGCACCGGCAAGAAGACGAGAGGCGGTGCCCACAAGCTCCAGGTGCTGCCCCTCGGCAGGTTTATAGGAAGTTGGTCAATCAGAAGAACGTGGGCTTATAAGTCGAGGGCCTTGAAGAGAAAGGAGCTAATACGAGGATGAACTGAGGAGCTGCATAAAGGGCCAGTATAAGAATAATGTTTTTTGTGTACTTTAACTCATGCAAAGCTACTTTAGTGGAGTCCCAGATTGAAAATATAGAGCTAGAAATGAGCATAATGGGTCACCTTTAAGGTCCAGGGCATGATGGTACGTGAGAAGGTTAGCAGTTCCAATATGTTTACATATGCTGCCGTATATGTATATACCAGCTATCATATGCAACCATACTGTATTTAATTAGTGGATATGTATGAACACATTTGTGTTGATTTGCACAGATCCTGAGGGCTATTTTAATGCAGCAAACTTCAAAGCACATTCAGCAGGTCTGTGGGGTTTTTAGTAGTCGGATTAAAGCCAACTTTTATATTCTAGTGTACAGTATTCTCCATCATCGTCATGCTCTCTGGTGAATTTTTTAATAAAACTTCTCAAAGGCTGCTTTTAAAAAAAAGCTGTATATGTTGTTTAGAGCCGAAATGCCTCAGAAAGAAAACATAGCAATTCCAGTTCTGTATTTCACTGAATAGAGTTAATAAATTAGAATGTAGGTATCCTCTAAATGTCTAATGACACAGGACCGCACACACACACACACACACACACACACACAGAAAACAGGAATACAGATGAGCTAATGAATACATATTAATATACATGACCTGTCTAACCCTGCCTTGAAGAAAAATTCTCAATTATTACAACCTTGGTTGTACTTTCATTATTATGGCTCTCAATTCCTCTATTATGTAAAAATTAATGAATTGTGCTCACCAAGTCTGTTGCTGAGTTCTGAAAACATGGCAACATGAATGAGTAAGGCCCTAACTTATGACAAGAGGTAACAAGCTAAAAGTTGGAAACTAGTGGTTGGGAAAACTGTTGGCTGGTTTTGGCCTGTCAGACTTTGTTGTTACTTTGTTGTTGCTTTGTTGATTAAAATTAAATTAAAACTGCAATTGTCCTTTAAAGATCTTATAATCCAGCTATGACTGGTATATTAGTTCGATTTGAGGAGTTTTACTGTCCATGATGACATACATTCTGTTTCATTGCAGTGGATATCTGACATCATGCAGGGGAGTGGCATGCTGCTGACTTTTCACCTTCACTCCACAGGTTACATTCAAAGCAGAAGACGGCAAACCGATGGCCATCTGCCAGGTGAACGTGGAGCCGACACCTCACGTTGTCGATCAGACTTTCAGGCTTTACCACCCCGAGCTCTGCTTCCTCAAGAAAGCCATACGCCTGCCACCCTGGCATGACCCAGCAGGTAACGCAGGTTACTACAGTTATCCCCCATCAGCCATTACTCCCTGTCCCACAGCTTCCACTCTTCCTCCACTGACCTTGTCTAGATAGGAAGATTTATTGCATCTGATTGATTTGCATTTTTAGTATTGGTTTATTACATTTTCAGTTGGTACACTGACATACCCTCCCGGGGGAGCACGTACATATATGTGCTTGTATACAAAAACATATATTACACATGGTGGATGGCAATGAATAATGTATTCTACCTTCGTTTTATTGTGTTTTTACACATCAACAAAAATAATCTTACAATATAAAACATCTATCACACACAGAAATAACAAAAAAGAGACATCTATTTCCAGCGTAGGAAATGAATAGCAAGAAAAAAATGGAATGGAGAAAATGGAGAAAATAGCACAGCATGTTCAGCACACATGCATGTTTATGTACATGCAAGCATGTATAAAATCTTTCACATTAGACTAAGCTGGACATTTAAAACTGATTCATAAAAACTGCTTAAAAATGCCATCTAGCTCCAATCTTTACTGCCTGTATATGAACCATTTTTCTCTTCCTTGTCATTGGGCTCACCAGTTGCTGACGCTGATGCCAGGACTCACATTTCTGTCCGCTGCAGTGACCCTAACATCATTTGCCAAACAAGGATGCTGGTGAGAATATGGCATTATTTTCTTACGTTTTCTAATAACCCACACTAATATTAGCAGGGGATTAATTACTGAACTCATAGCTTCAATACTATTTCCTGTTCATAGAGGGAAAGCACTTTATTGTAGCTTTCCTATCATGAATTTCAAGCTGCTTAATACATAAAAGGCTTGCTCTTATACCATACCATACATCTTTAAAGTACTAATGTGGGGTCTCTATTATTTCTGCTTCTTTTTTTCCCCCTTTACCTCTCTGTTTTACCATCGTTCCGCCTTCCACTCTGTTTCTGTCTAGGTGCCAGGGGAGCCTCAGGATGTGTACTTGAAAGTGCCAGGGAGTCCCAGTCCACACATAAAAATGTTCTTTGTGATGGTTTTTACGTATGTATTATACACTGAACAGGCATACTGTACACAGTAAACACAAACACACACACACACTTACACTCTCTCACACACAATCTTAGCCCGAAGAAGCTTTCTATTTTAGACTAATTAAATTGTTCACGCAGGCTTGAATTAATTAACTAATCACATGAAGGTTTGGTGGTCTGAATGCCTGAAGCTACAGAACCCATCCTGAAGTCTTTCAAATCTCCATCAGGATTAGAGCAATATTATGTGTAATATGCAGGACCAATGTCTGATAGGCCGGGTATGATAAAGTTTTGACGGGTTACATGGTTGTCCCATTTATTTAAAGTTACCCTGTGGAGTTTTCTGATAAACAAACACATTTATGTTTACATTCAGTGTATCTCAGCAAAGCACATTATACAAATGTATCCTTGAGGCCTGACTAATGTGTTTAATGCATTCTCTTCCTTGTAAATGTGCAAGTCCAAATTTTTACATGGTATTACTGCAGCTATCTGACAGTTATTCAGCATAAGTGTGGATTGCATCACTTGCACGCTGGTGCTCATACACTTGTGTGTCCTAAAGGGAGTATACGAAATACAACCAATAAAGGTACCTACTCAAAAAACCACTGTTCCATAGTGGTACAAGTGGTCAGATCACCTTTACTTTGTTTCTAATGTGAGATTTTGTACAGGACACATTAACAAGAACAAGGCAGCTTCATTATATGCCTAGACACCATCGTCCAGTCCTTCTATGCTGAAATAATAAAGCTGCTCCTAAGCTTTTCTGTGTCAGTTAATGTGTGGTAAGTAGGTTAAACAAAATGCTATTCAGGAATATGTGCCATGTGAGGCCAGTATAAAGTCAAAGTTATCCTGTCTGTGTCAAAATGCCCCCCCGTTAAGATGAGCTAATAATGGAGGACAATTTGTAGTTGATGTTTTAAAATAATATAATATATAATATAATCCAGCCATACAGGAACACAAATTGTAAAAACAATATGTAAATGCTGAATATCATCTGATTATATCCCTAAACGCTGTAAATCCAACACAAATGATATTGTGTCTGCCTTCAAAAACCCATATCACTTGAATTCTATTCCAAATATCCCCAAATGCTCCTTGAGTGCTGTTGTCACAGAGCAGGGTTGAGTAGGTGACTACATCGCTCTCCCACTCACAGCTCTCAGAGTCAGCTAGGGCCACTGAGACTGAATTCCCTTCTTCTCAGCAGTGAGAGGAGGAAGAGGAGGATGCTGATGATGCTGCTGCTTATTAAAATGCTAGCACAGCCGTAGATCAGCCCTCCTCGTCTCCAAACTCATGCTGCTCCCGCTGCGTCTCCAGGGAGCCTCAGCTTAATTGTTCCTGATGATGTTTTTTTCTGCAGTGATAAGTGGATGGCGGCGCCCTCCCAGATCTGGCAGATTTATGTGCATTTCCTGGAGCGGGTGGATGTCAGCTGTGTGACTGGCCAGCGGAACTGTCAATCAATGGTGCTGAGGGGGAAGCAGGCTGTGCGCAAGGTCAAATGTTTCTCATCACACCCCCAGGAGATTGAGGTACACATCTTCATGAGTAGCTTAACACTGAACCCACTGTTTTTGAGTCAGTTAATTATACATTAACTTAATTATACTGTCGTCCCAAAAGAAATTAGTGATGTTGCATCATACTGAAGTACGTTGGCTGCCAATTTTTACACCCGGGCATTGACTACAGATGGAAACTTGCCTTTTGGTTAATTCTGGCATATTTACAGCAATGCTTATTAATATTCTCTGTCCCTAAGAAGTAAATAAATAAACTGAAAGTAGAAAGCAGAACGGCAACTCGCCTTCATTCCAATCTGGGCAACGCCCCCCTATGGAGACATATCAAAACAAAAACAAACTCTCAGCAGTGTGGAAAGCAAAAGGTCTTCACAGTTTGTGGTAACTGAGACCCAACCTGGTACCCAAGTCGCGCCAAGTCCAAATTGTCAGGGAGGGTCTTGTTCTATTGCTCTGGGTCTTAAATTTGAGTACCAATATGGCTACTACCCAACTGGATCTTAGCAACACCTCTACCTTAATGTTTTGTGTGTCAAAATCAATGCAGTAAAACTAAAATCTAGTTTTTTGAGGCACATGGAGAGTGTTAAGCCAAGAGAAACTGACTTTTGGACACCAGCTGCTCATGAATTGGTGAAGCATAATACTGCTTGCTTTTTCTGTATTTGTTTTCAACTGCATTTGGGTCTATTTGGATTGAGTCTGACTCAGTTCCTTTTGGATCAGGTCTTTTCAATGGAAAACTAATTTCAGTACCTTCAGGTAGTTTGTCCGTGGCACTGTTTTTGATTTGGGACCCATAAAGACCATGAAGAGTATGAGAAAACCATCTAGAATTCATAGCACTGTACTGACTTACATAATAACTTGAAGTTGTAATTTCTAAAAGATATCAAGAGTGTGTGACGTGTTTGGGGTAAATCCACATCCTCCCTGCCGCTCATACATTTTTCCGTGTTTAATTTAAATGAGGTGCGCTCTGTCTTTACTTTTGCCTTTTCTTTGTTAAAGATGTAGTTTTATTTAATTGGGAAAAAACAGAGCCGACGAAAATGTGAAGCAACGTACGGAAAAGAGAAAAAGTAGAATCTAAACAGTTTAAATCATACCTCGAATCTTTCAAATCTAATGAGACGTTGAGAGCTTTGTTCTTGATATATTTCTTTCTGTACTAGCAATCTTCAAACTGCATTTTCAAAAACGATTTAATGCAAATTGTTCTCTTAGCAGCAGGGAACAATGGAATGGCAACAGTCTCTTTTGTATTAACCCCAGGTTAAGATTCAAGTTATTTTCAAGAATGTACAAATGCAGAATAATGGGTCTTTTCATGTCATTTTATTTTATGAGATCACCCGTCCTGCAATCATGTCATGTTGGGACACAATTTGACACAATCTGGAAAATTAGCATTGCTTGTAGGCTTTCTGAACTTGTAAAAGTATGTTTCAGGAGTGTCAGATTGCCCTCTATTTCAAAATAGATTGTTTCTTATTCAAAGGGCATTTCTTATTACTCACTCAGATTTAAAAAAAAAAAAAAAGAACTAGTGATGGACTTTCACAGCCACCATGGCTGCATACAGTATGACCCAAACGTATTCTCACTGAAGAAACGGGGTACAGGCTGAAAATGTGACAGATGTTTTTTTTTAAAGATTTCACCGTATGCATCAGCGGGTGCTTTGATCTGACTCTCGGCAGGTTAGCTCACTGTGGAATGCATCGGAGGAGTCTTATAAAACAGGATAAAGCTCCCCTCCAGAGAATAGCTTTGCTTTTCTCAACAGATTGAAAAGGAGCTGCACAGTAAATCTCATTCTCACATCCTTCTGTCTCTGTCACTTTTCTGCCTGTACTTTCTCTCATTTCATTGTCTGCCACCCCTCTCTTTACCTTTTTCAGCGACTCTCATTCGCCCTCTCTCACCCACTCTTTCCTGTAATCTGTACACCTCCTTTATTTTCTTCTGACTCTGTTAACCACCTTTTCCCATTAATTCTGTTTCTTTCAATACCATATTTTTTACCTCTTCTTATATAATGTCTCCCCAACCCACCCAATCAACATCTCCACACCTTACTACTGAAACCCAATCACCCTTAACCACCCCTCCTGTAATACTTTCTCTGTAGGTGGACCCAGAGGGTGTGTTCCTTTTGCCTTCTGCAGCGGTGCAGGAGCTCCAGCTGAAGGTGCAACCATGGCGAGCAGGCAGTCGCTTCTTGTATGTACACGCAGTGGATGTGGAGCACCGGCGGCTGGTCACCGCCTGGCTGCTCTGTCTGAACGTCCACCGGCCCGTGCTGTCCAAGGTATGAGGAGTGGGTTTTTTTGCAGCTTGACAATTCAAAATGGTATTATGTGTGTTTTTATCATGTCTTCAGTTTAACTCTCATGTGATAATTGCTGACATGATTTTAGTTAAGTTCTTAGTGGGGCTCTAATTTTTAACTTGAAGAAGAGCGATATGATGGACAGCTCCCTTAAAGGTCCATCTAACTCAAAGCCGATGGTGACTCAGGGTCACAGTCAGTGCTTATTGAACCACTCTGGTGATTTCTAGGGTCAGCTGGACATAACCATCCTCTTTATGGCAAGTGTCAAAAAAAGGCTAAGGACAGCTGATCCCAGGCCAGCACTCAAAGCCAATCCCCTCTATAACTGCTGTCTGCCTTTCTAAACCAAGTGACTGTCGAAGCTTAAGTTCACATTACAGCTAAGGGTCTAATCGGAACTGTACGTGTGACCAACCATTTATGGCACGAGCTGTAAGGGCTATGTAACGGCAAGAATCTTCCGATAGAATATTTATCATGATACAGGGGTTACGATTCAATGTATGTATTAGTGTAAGTAAGTTATTTTATTGTGATTTTTGCATGTATACTGGTAATTAAAAATACATGTGTTTTTGAGAGTCAAAACAGTATTAAAAAATATAATATTGCAATATTCAAAAGTATAGATATTTTCTTACAGCCCTACTAACTGCCTGCATGTGTGTGTGTGTGCAGGCGTTCGAAGTGTGTGTCCCGGTTGGTAGTGGGCGTGGCAGCTCCAGGAAAATCACCTACACCAACCCCTACACCAGCAGGCGCAAATTTCTGCTCCGCTCTGACCATCCGGACCTGCTTCAGTTCAAAGAAGATAAATTCCAGGTGAGATGAGATAGGAAGTCATACGGTTCTCTTCCTCTCATTAAGTCAATAGTTTGATGAACACCAAAGGGAGCCCCCATTCTTGACCAAAGCCTTTTAAAGAAAATGAAGCCAAGCATCAGTATGGGTAGTTTCAAGGGATTCATGGTGCCTTGTGTTGTTATCAGCCTGTAAATAATAAACATTAGCTGATAATGGAAATGGAAAGTGCCGCTGGCCAATAGGAGAAATCCTTTTCTGATCAGCTTTTTAAAATCCTATTTAAAATAAAATTAAAATAATAACAAATACTTTGACATTTTTGCTGAACCTAAAGGTCAATTAAAGACATAAAATACTGCAGAGGAAATACATAATTATTGATTGCTACTATTAACTACTACTTCCAATTTTTTTTCCCCCAACATTGTCTTTATTGATTTTAACAACAACTGAACACATACATACAGTACACACACACACACACACAGACACACACACACACCTGGTGCTTTAGAGGTATTTGTATGGATAATATGTCCTGGATGCACTCTCCCACTGCTTTACTCTATCCATTCTGATTCAACTTGGAAATTGAGGAATCTTTTGGCATTTTCCCATCATCTACCCCTTATAGCTCATACCAGTGGTAATAATGTCAGAGAGTTTTTTCTACTGACAAATTGTAATGTGTCTGCAGAAACCTCAGAGGAGATGTTAGCAAATAACTGTGAATTACCAAAAACATAATATAGTATATATTATAGTTTTTATAATTTGAGTTTATTATGAGTGCCTGCTGTAGCTACAGTGACAGCTAACTACAGCAAATAAACAATATTTACTGACAACTGACATGAAATTAATATTAAAGGATGTGTTTAATTTGTTACAAAAGTGAAAGATATTAAATAAAGATGAGAAAACCCAATGTAATACAGTAATAAAAATGGGGAAAGTACAGCTAAGAAGTATCTGTTACCACATCAATGATAAATGAGCCAGAAACGTGAAACACAAAACATTTTGCTAAAGAACCGCACATGAGATGAACGACAGAAAAGCGTGTCTGAAATGCCTCCTGTGGAGACAATGCCTGTGCTGTAGGTCTTGGCTCTGATGGACATTGAGACTGCGATAGAGTTATTATAGAGCTGTAGTGCAGCCAGGATGCAATTCAGTCTCATCCAGTGCACATGAGGAGTGAGGAGGAGACATTTCAACAATGTCACACACTGACATTTTAGGTATCAGCCTCAAAATCAGTTTTTGGTTCACTCTCAACTAAATGCATGAATTTGCTATGCTGCAACAGCACTGACTACGTACAGTATCACACCCATGCACTCTGAAACTTGAACTGAAAAAGTTTTGACCGACATGCTGATTGTGACAAATAAGACCTTTTGTGTGGAAAAGTAACCTTTAGTGTTACAGATAACAGATATGACTGGATGTTTTTGACTTTCCTGTTATCTTGACAGGTGAGTAAAAGACATCAATGATTTCTGGCCTCTCAAGTTGACAGTTCATTCCTCAGTGGTTAGACAAGTGAATGATTTCCTTGTTTGCCTACAGAACGAAACAGAGTCATTACTGCCGTTGTTTTATTGTTATGTTGTCAGCCCCAGTGTCTCTAATGACTGATTCACTCACACACAGACATGAAGCAGCGGAGCGGCTGCCGTCGTTGCCTTTCATTTGCAGAGGTGTGATAAAATGACAAAAACAAATGGAAAACCAGCATTTTAAATTAACAGATAAATGAATGAGATGCAATGAGAGTCTCCACATAAACTATTTAAGGTCTCGCTGCTGCTGTCCAGAAGACACTGCATCAATTAGACAGAAGGAGGTGGGCAGAGTGAAAAACAGTACGTGTTTTTTTCCATCTTGTCAGTGAGGCTCCAGGTGTCTTATAAAGAATTTACTGTGCCCGTAGCATTAAGCAAATGTGGAGACACTTTTCTCTTTTTTGACGTAACTACCTTGCCATGATAAAACCAGCTGTCAGGAGGGAAAGCAAAGCAGAGATCAATACTGCTGTGCTTTTGGGGAAGATTACAGCATAAATCCCCAAAATTGGCCTATATATTTGTTCCTGGCTATTACAGAAAATACTAGAAGACAGTTCCGGCCTGATTGAAATACTGGGAAAAGAAAGAAAAAAGACCAAATAAAGACCTTTCGCACACTATGAGCCCTGACAGGAAAAGCATTAAAACATTAAGCATTCTGTGCCGTTAATATAAAAGAATCATCAGAATTGCACTCTGAATGGAGAGATGGTAATTTGAAAAAAAAAGAAGAGTGTCATTTCAAGAGGTTAGAAGAATACAAACCATTTGGGGTTTCCTCATGCAATAATGTTCTGGTTTAAGACCACCCTCACTATAGTAGGCAGCGGAACAAACATAAGCATAAGCACTCTTGCACTTCGGTGCTATACGCCATTATTCCCAGCAGCAGTGGTGTCTGGCTGTCCCACTTAAAGTTGGTAGATTTTTAAAATGTCTTTGATTTTTCCAACAAATGAGAGTAATGATAATATGATGAGTGAATGATAAGTTTCAAGGTCAGTGAAACAGATACTGTTGAACAATGGTTCATGAGTGGAGTAAAAGGAGGACACAACTGACCAGACACTGAAACAGGACAGTTGACCACAGATAAAACAGGAAGGAACAACTTGTAATTTAAATTAGATGTGAATTTACCTGTTTAAGAAACACCCCAAATATTTCTATCATTTTAAGTGGACCTTTATTTTGCAGATGTTTACAGGGTAACAGGTAGGAACATTGTTCTCTAGCTAGCGTTTTAAAATCTGTGTTAAAGCAAATATTGTTCTTTTTGTGGCATTCTCATCAGCTCTGAAGGACAAACCTTTCTTTAAATCGGATTCTGACTACATGGGCACTGTTATTTCTTTAAAAGTTGGTTTCCTGTCTGGCAGATCGAGCCGGATCTTGAAAAAGCACTCAAATATTTAGAAACCACTCTAAGTAGAGCATCCTATGGGCAAAACTGTGGAACCTATAACTTGGTTATATGTGAGTGTAATTTTTATTGTAGGGATGACTATAAGATCCTTCTTTCCCTTTGATTTAATAATTTATACATTTTCTTTCCTACCTCAGCTACACAAAAACAGAAAACTGTAATTGATACAGTTAAGTTACTAATTGATTGCTATTCAAGACTGGTGACGTTACATCGCAGTTAACAATAACTCATTCAGCATCACAGGAGGGGAGCTTTTTCCCCATGCATCCCTGAACAGATAAAAGCATTTTACTGTAGATAGATAGAAACACTTCAGAACAGATAAAAATGATTATAAACTGAATTGTTTCAAAATCTAAATCAAGTGTTAAAATTCCCACTACAAATAATAATAATTAAATTAAATTAAAGTAAATGATCACATGCAAAGAAGATCATCGCTCTGAGGTAAAAGTTTTTTTTTTGTATATGTAGACATGGTTGCAGCCGTTTAATGTTAGTAGCTGAAGAGAAAGAAAGAATCACTGACTCACCCTCACGAAGCATCCAGATGAATATGAAGTATTGTTTGTTGTGTTCAGATCGGCGGGGGAGAGACTTACACCATCGGACTACGATTCGCCCCTAGCCAGAGTCCCGGCTCAGTGGAGATACTGGTCTACGTGAACAACCTGGAGGAGAAGACGGAGGAGACATTCTGTGTGAAGGTCAACTACTCAAACTGAACTGATGGTGGTTGTACAAACTGCTCCCTGGAAATGTTAATCTGGTTATCTGCATTTTAAATTTGTTTTCTGAGTGTGAAATTAACTAAAATGAGTACAAATGAGCTATATTTTTTGTACTTGGTGTGTGTAATTTTGTAGTAGATCATATTTAAGACAGAAATAAAGTTTTATCACATATATTGGTGGGGCGGGTTCAGTCTTTTGTACTAATAAATGAATGGTCAACATACTGAGTTCAAAACAAACATGCAAAGCTTCTTTCTCTACACTTACTGTACTTAACTATACATAAAAGCAAAGAAAAACTAAACTTTTAAGTACTTAAATGCTTAAAGGCGAGAATTAGGGTGCAAGTAGAAAAAAGCAGCAACATCAAGACAAAATCCCAATGATCTGTCCCCTCCTGAAATGTCCGGCAAATGTCTGGCAGCTATGCAGAGGTAGGCCGAGGGTGAAGGCAATAACATTTTATCGACTTTAATTACCCAGCAAACCCACTTGAATGCCACTTGATGGTTGAGTTTTAATCTCAGACAAGCCAGGGGTCCGCTGTCTGCGTCCCCTCGCCTCCCAAACAACTTATCCTCATCACCGGCATTATTAGAAACAGTGCCGTAATGAGGTATGACTTTCCAGCGAGGCACACATCTCTTCAGATCGCCCTCATTAACACCAGCACCCTTTTAAAGCCCTCCATCCTTTCCTTCCTCCCCACTCTGCTGTGTGTCTCACTGTCTGAGTACAGAGAGAGAGAGAGAGAGAGAGAAAAGGCCCTGCACATTGTGTTATGTAACACAGAGTTACACAATCCCCCCCACTCCCTCCATCCCCTCCTTCCTCCCTTTCTCTCTCATTAGAATGCAGGCTGCAAAATAAGCCTCAGCATAGCAGCAAAGGCTAATAAAAAGAAGATAGCAACCAAGCCGGGTGCACTTCATCTGTACCTTCCCTAACATCTTGTCTGAAGTACAAGCGTCATTGTCTTCTCTATGTTAAATATGTTAACAGCATAAAGAAATACACTTTAAAGCTCTGTTCAATAATTAGATCCCTGTAGCCTCGGGAAATTTTGGTTCTTGAGCTAAGAGATGCTCTATGCAACCTTAAACATTTGGCTTAAAGCAGAGGTGGGACCAAGTCATTGTTTCCAAGTTGAACTTTATGTTTCGTGTCCTGTACAAGTCATATTCACATTCACCAAACGTAATGCCATTTTAACAACAGAACGACACAAAATGATGTCTAGTATAATGTTTTCCAACCAGGGCTCAGTAAATTAACTTTAGTTCATCATGTTTTTCCCCTAAAACTTGATTAGATGCTGTTGGATTGGTTCAAACTAAGTGGATCTGGGAAATAAAATGTCAGTTTCCTGGGAATTAATCACTGTTAACTTAAATTATTTAAAATTAATTGATTTGAGGCACACTTTTTAAATAACATGCTCTTTAATCATCAAGTTTTTTCAAGTCAAAATGCCCAAAGTGAAGTCACGAGTCATTGGTGTTAAAGTAACATTTTTGACTGGAGTGGCTCTTCGCCATTTTTCTGACGCTACTTTTCATGGCGGTAGCTAGGTAGCTACCTAGCTATGTAGCAGGATAACGTCTCCTTTCTTAATTTGATTGTTTCTCCAACCTGTACATTGTTGATTGAATCAGGGAACATATCTGTGGGCAGTGATTCAGAGATCTGGAACCAGGCTAAATCCCCAGATAAGCTTCCAATGGACTTTAATATGGATTTTTGAACAGAAGAAAGACTGTGGATTCGGTCCCTTATTTCTTACTTTGGTCATGCAATGAAAGTATCACTCCACAGCCAGGAGAAAAGATTACAGTGACTGTGACTCTTTCAACATACATACGCACAGCATGTAAATGTTGTATCAAGATAGACTTTAGATAACTGAACCTCTCCTTCAAATGGTTTTCTTTCACAATCCTCACAGCTTGTTCCCTGTGTCCCTGTTGGGGTGGAGATGGTGAACAGCCGTCATGTTTCTCTGCTTTACTACCTGTGTGTGGAGAACATCTTGCGCTGCCATCCATCCCGATTTGGGCGAAATAATCGTCCATTGTAGCCCTACTTTGTGATTCACTGTAGGCTGATGAGACAGGTGTGCTTTGTGTAAAAAATGTTACCCATTGCAGTTTTAATACCCACATCCCACTCAGAGCAGCAGCTGCATGGTTGTTCTGTGAGCGGGGGGCAGACCAGCGCTGACACCTTATTAGTGGTGCGAGTCCAGTTGTTGGCGGTTCCTCCTGAAGGAGCACCCGCCACGACAGCTCACACTGTCTGCTCACCTTGTTAGTGTGGTTAGACGGCTCCCGACGAGCTGCCCAGCGGAGAGGCTGCCTTGATATTTTTGCTGGGTGGACGGGTACCTGTTATTGCCCTGGGTTGGAGAAAAGCAGGCCTACCCAATGGTGCATGTCTGTTTGCTTGTATGGTCTTTTTTGTGTGTGTAGGTGCCTGGCCTGAGCCATGTGAGTGGGTGCATGTCTATGAGAGAATACAGCGACACAGGTATCAAAGAGCTTTGTAACTGGAGGAATATGCAACCTAGCAACCAGCCCTCCTCCTCATGTGCACCGCTGGCCTGGATCGGCACTCATACAGAAGGGTGTCTGTGTATTATTGCAGTTCAATTCAAGCTTAAGCCATTCAGCTGAGAACACACAGATTATAACGGAGAAGGCGTTCCTTTACAGACATTCTTTACAGAAAAATCTGAAAGAAATAAAAGAAGATTTAAAGCTTGTTCTCTTCTTGCCATGCCCACTCATTAAGTGATGTCACAACTGATGTTTTCACAGCTGTCAAAGGCAAAACACCTGCTGTGACATCATTGACTGGGGTGTGGCTGGATCTAAAGGTTTCAACCTACAGGTTTGAATTACTCTTTAAAACAGTGAAAAGTCTTTACAAGCATGAAAATGTGTATTTTTAACAATCAAACAGGAAGAAGAAAGTACTAGAAACTAAAGGAGAGGTACAGTTAAAGCAGCTGTCTCGTTTTATTTTGGGGACGGGGACCTGGGACAGATTAGACATGAAGTGTGAAAAGGAGCTCTCAATAAATTGAAATTCAATTACCTCGTTACCCTTCTCAGCAGGACCTTCCCTCAGCCATGACTGTCGAGCACAAAGGAAATGTGTTTGGCTGAGGGAGCGTCACTTTTCCTCTCACTGCAAGCACACATCCAGTTTGAAAACAGCTCTCAGTAGATGGCAGCCTTACACATACAGCAAATTCCCACTGTTGTTCTTACCAATCCCCCGTTCCTCAAAGGCAGTAATAAAAAAAGTAAGGTGGTAAACTATGACCTTCAATCTGAAATTATCATGAGGCACAAATAACCCAGACTGAATAACCAATATAATACCAAGAAAAGCTCTCTGTCCTTTATTTCATGTTTTATCCTTAATATAGATCAATCATCTTTGTTCTATTTACTTGTCTGTCCTCTATGTAAACCGTGAGAGTACAGTGAATTTCATTTTCAAATAGGTCAGGCTAAAAAGGAGGATAAACTCCATTCCAAATAAAATGGTTGGTAAAATGGTTTCTCTCTTCCTGCCTTTCCTCTCCCTCTCCCTGTTTGCTCCCTGTGTGTGTGTCTCATGTTGTTGCTCTAACCTCCAAGTGCTTGGACGATCAGGTACTTATTTTATTTGTATTACTTCCATGTTCAAATATGGACAAGAAATGTTGACATTACCAAACTGAGTCACAGTCAGACAGATCAGGACATCTTTAAAGTTTAATTGCTGAGCTCTGAGAACATTTCCTAAAAGTCAGACATGGCTAGAAACATGAGCAATCAGACGGGTTGGAAAGGACCGGTGTGTAGGATTTAGTGGCATCTAGTGGTGTAGTTGCACTTTACAGTGCCCTCGCATCACCCTCCTGTTCCAAACCTGTAGGAGAAAGTACAGTGGCTGCGAAACTTGCAAAAAACGTGCAAGGCCCTATAGAGCCAGTGTTCGGTTCGGCCATTCTGGGCTACTATAAACACATAACTGCCTACATAAAAATAAAAACGACTCATTCTAAGGTAACTAATTTTTTTTTATTTTCAGGTGATTATACCATAATAGAAACATACCTGTGAATATTGTAATTGGTTTCTGCCAATACAGCCTCCTAAATGTTACACACTTGACCTTTAAAAGTTTGGAAGAGAAAACAAAGACAACATTGTACTATTCAAACTGTCCATTGTAAAGCATCCATCATGTTTTACAGACTGACTTCTTCAACCTTGATCTACCTAGCTTATTTGTGTGAACATGCAAATATCTAGAACAATGAGGGGATAACATTAACATGTCAGTTGTGCTAAAAGTTTGGTTTGTTTGTTTGTTTAACCTGTTAACCTAGTTGGACCTAATTTAACAATGTCACAGCATTCAGAGTTGTCAGGATTACTGTTGCGGGTTGTACAATAATCCCTGTCTTAAATCATCAAAATATATATCCATCTGAACTTATTCTTTTCAAAGAGTTTATCATGCAGTATTAGCAAACAGGCTAACATTAGTTAGGTAGCTGCATTAGCTAACATGTTGGTTACCGTTAGAATCGTGCCCCAACCCACCTATGTTTCCTCACATTATCATGAGGATAATGATTGTATCTTCCGTCTTCCTGATTGCCTCATTTGTCTTGAGAATATAAAATGACATCTCTTTTGTTTGTGTCCATTGGAACAGTGATAATGCCCTGATACAGGAAATGCAGCATCCAGTACAATCAAATTCTTCCCCCACAGAAAACGGAAGGCATTGTCAGACTGAATAATGGAGCAATAATGGCCACTCTGCCTGGGTATCAGACTATTGTAGCCAGTGTGGTTTCTTTTTTTTTTATTTATTATTTTATTTATATACTGAACTTTATACACTGCTGACCGGCTGGCTGTTTCTAACAAATAATCCAGAGCAAACTATCAATAACTACTTGCAAGAATCCCATGGGATTCACTGTTGATTTTCATGGTCCCGAGATGACGATTCGTAATGATTTTGCTGACCACTTGAACAACATTTGAACTTGTGCACATATATCAAAGTCTAGTGGGCAGATTGCAAAGGAATTCACTGATCACATTCATGTTCCCAAGGTGATTAACCCATTTGATTTAAATGACCCC